GTAATGAAATTTGTTTATGGATACTGTCTTGGGTAACAAAGTCATATATTTGCTATCAGTAATCTGCATTTAGAAAACTATCTTCCAAGAATTTGCATCCTCCTTGCAAGTTCGGAAACAGACTTCCTACTGCAAAGCAGAAAAAAAAAACCTCTCTATCCTGTCTTCAGCAATTCACATTAGAACTATTTATTCAAGAGGCAATTAACATAGGTGGTGTATTTCCCACTAGAAACATCCTGCAATCCACCTTTGCAGGTCCCAAACACATAGCTTTGCCTTGCAGACCAGTTAGAGACAACCGGGCTTGCTATTGTAAGTGCACGGCTGTGATTTGGCAGGAACCAACAGAGCAGGCAATCCTGTCCCCAGTTGTCTCTTTCAGCTGCCATAGTCCAATAGCCCTCAAGAAAATACTAATGATGGTCATCCAGTTGTTGTATCACCACTGCTCTTGCTGTCATTCAAAAAAAAAAAAAAAATTCCTACAAAAGCAACAAGAGATTCTTCTTCTTTACCAACCCATTTGTTGGACGGCATTATTTTATAAAGGCTAGGAACTGCAGAGTTAACAGGTTTTAATTATTTCTGTGTTTAAAAATACATGGGTTTAATTTTATTCCATTAAAGGCATGCTGACAGCCATGAGTTTGCTCTCACCAGTAAAAAGAACAGGACAAGACCCACTATCTTACTTCCCCCCTCACCATCTGTTCTGTGCTCTCAGGCTCTCCAAGGTCAAATCGCCTTTAGGGAGTCAAATCAGAGATAAGATGGGAATGACATTTCTAATCTTTGTTACACAGGCACAGAATTTATTAGTTTTGGATACAAGGAACTTCATTTTCAGTATGAGTGAACCCAGAGCCAAAAAAAAAAAAAAAAAAAAAAAAATCCATGTTACCTGGTATGTTTGGTGGACCGCACCAGTCAGAATCCCCAGTTGTAAGAGCCAGCATTGCCAAGGGCTGAATAAAAGAATTTTAGACTGTACGTTGGATCTCAGATTCAAGAAGTCAAGGTTTCTAAGTGCAAAGAACTTTTTCTTTTTTTTTAACCTCAAAAGTAAACACAAAGTAATAGAAAGTGTTCCATTCCTGGCTCTGAGAAACTTCTGGCTGATTTTAAGGGGCAGTGCAGTCAACTCAGAATACTCCTGAGAATGGTTATTAAAATAAACAAAACTGCAGCTAAGGGTTACTCCTGCCAAACCTCCCTTGCCTACGCCCCGCAGCACAAAGCACCAGAGTCCCTGATGGCAGAACCAGTGCTGTTCCCACTGGTAACATGATGCAGAGAAACCACACCACAGCAAGTCATGATATGCGCTTGGTTCTCCCCACAAACACAGTGCCACTGGTTTTGATGGGTTAAATGCAGTGGTTTAAAAATAGGCCAGTTCATTTTTTCCAACATGTGATAGGAACACAACATTCTACCACAGCCTCAGCTTGTAAAGGCTGTCACCAGCTGGCCACCTCCTTGGTCTGAAGGAGAGCATTTTTCTCCTCTCACAAATGCAGCCCATCCATACCATAACTTGGGCTGTGCAAGAATTTATCCAGGAGGCCACAAAACCCACTAAAGACAGCCCTGACTGTGATAATCTTCAGGCTGCCCGATTTGTTTCACTAGATTCCTTCATGAGAACTCTACAGCCAACCACCGTGACTAAATAACAGCTGGCATGGAGGAGGAGCATTTGCCAAACTCAACAACCGGAATTCTTTTCATTGTTTGCTAAGATGCCTTAGCTTATGAAAATAGGTTCCCATTTTCAATGGGACAGAAAGAATACAGGAGGCAACTCAGGAGAGTGTCATGAGGAAAGGGGCCCCAGGCTTTCACTGGAAGTGTTAATACACCCACAGAAGCATCTTCAAAGCTATGAAAGAGGCTACCGTGTCATTTGGTCATCTGAAAAATTTTTACATACTTAGGCTCAGAGGCAGAGTGAGTGAAATACTGAAGGAACCCTTAATTACCCCTTTAGAAAATATTCTCATTTCATCCCACCAGAACATGCGAAATGGCTCCCTTCCAATGCAAGGTAAAGATAAGAAAAGCTGGGGCAGCATCACAAGCCAGAACCCAGCACCACTAAGAGCCAGAGGTGTGCTGGAATGTAGGGTCTTAAAGCCTTAAAGGTGATTTCTTTTCTTCCCTTCCCCCTTACAGGAACAGTTCTGGTAACCCCCATAATGTCTTCTGGGGTGTTGCACAGATCCTGGTGAAGTAGATGTTAGCTTCACCTTAGGAAGGCAAGACAAACAGAAAAAAAGAGTGAATTTCAGCACCAAACTACCTAGCACTGATCTACTCCCTCCCTGTATGGCTTGGAGGGGAAAAAAAAGGTGTTCCAGATGTATACTTCTTGCTACCATGTCTCCTTTTCATCAAATTTATCACATAATTATTTTGAGGTTCTCTGATGATTTATGCTCCTCCCCAGTACATCTTTGCTCTGTGTCCCCTCCATGTGCTGACAATTTTTCTGTCCTTCCCCCCACAATTTTGTCCCCCTTGAGCTCATTTTGGAGTGGCAAAAGTCAGGAACAGGCATGTGGAGCAGCTGTTTGGCTTTATGGTCCTGCAAAAGAGTTATAATGGCATGGTTGCTCTTTTGTCTCTTTAAAAATCAGACAGGAAAAGTACCCTTCTGGTGAGTTTTGCTCTGACAGAGCAATCAAAGTGTCAGAGAAGCTGGAGAGCTCCCAGCAAGCCAACCTAATTGTATACTTCTGTTTCATTTTAAGGGGTTCATAATTGTAAATACTGAAAGAACGCCTAATCCAACCAAAATCCAGGAACACCAACTATGTTGCTTACTGGCCTACAGAAACATATCATTATCGCTTGCCACTGACACTCTCTCCAGGAAGGAAAATATGTTTTATTCAGTTGTTAACATTATATCATTAGGGAGACCTCAACTGGAAACTTGCTTCTTGTTAACTCATTTTCCATGAGCTTCAGCAAGTTTTAAAAAACAAAACAAAAAACTTAAAACAAACAAACCTGTACATGAGAAAACTCACTAGCCTACAACAAAGCTGTCATGGAAAAGATGTCTCATGTCATAAATTAAACAAAATTTCCCCTTCTTAGTACCGTAACAGTAAAACTACAGGAAAACATTTATGGATTGCAAACATACGTAAGAATCAGATTGCTCCCTCTGTTTCTTCACTTAGGAAGCACGTTCCTGTGGTTCCTAAGTGTATTTCTATACACAGCTGTATTTCTATAGACTTGCCCTGTGTTTTTTGTTAAAACAATAAACTCATGGCAAGCCTATTGCTAGTGCAAGAGGAAAGCTCAGATATTCCATTTCCCAAAAAACAGAAAGACAGTTATGGTTCCTGCAGCGCTCTACTAGAAGATCTTTGATTATTTAAAGTGCTTTATATGCAGCAGATCAAAATGCCTTGCATCTACCTCCAGAAAGTTCCTATATATAGAAGACAGCACTTAAGCAAACACAAGCTTATTTATTTAGCCTTGAAGTCAGCACAGCAGTCCAGTTCCTATCAATAGCATTTTCACACTGCTTCATCTGTAACTTAGTTCCAGGACCAGTTCACCATTTTACACATATTAGATAAAACAGGGATAACTTTCATCCACCTCAGCAGAACAAGATTATAGAGTTTAAGGTCCCACAAGGCCTTTCTGACTGCAAGTCCAGTCCCAGAAAAGGCTGAGGCAGCCAGTACTGTCGCTGCTCCAGACCCCTGATCCTCCTCCTCCCGCTTGGATCAGCCCTGACAAGCGACACTGACACGAGTTCTTCTGATTTTCATAGAAGTGCATGTGGTGTTCTACAAGCCCTCACTCCTGGAGTCTCCATTTCCAGTTATGAAAAGCCCTTCTAACTGCAGAAAAGCCCTTGAAAACACAAAGCAGATGTACTGTAGAGGCTTAATCTAGAAAGCACTAAAAAGCACAAAGTCTAGTAACACTCAGATGTACGTGATTTTTAAGTCAGTTTACTATTTTAGGGTGGTTCCTCTTCAATTTTTCCCCAAGTTTTAAAAGCAAAGAATATTAAATTGCCATTTTCTGAAGAAGTTTGCAGGAAAGGGGAAGGACTTGAGCCAGAAGAACCAGACAAAGAAAAACTGAAGGAAGCAAAAAAACAAAACAAAGTTTCCATAGTATCTCTTTTCAACTTGTCTGAAAGCTGTTTAAAAGTTCCTAAGAGGGTCATTGATGCTCCAAGGTTTTCAAATCTCACTTTGAGCTACAAGTGACAACCCAGTATTTAAAGCAAAGTAACTTTCCTTACACGTTTTCAGAAAACATTCCTTACACATTTTCTGTAGGTTTGCATCTTCTCAGAACATGATCAAACATTACCATGCAGTTTTCCAGGCAGTTGTTTTTCTCCACTTTTTTCCTTTCCTTTTAAAGGGATTTTTTAAAACAACTAACGTTATAAATAGAAGAAATCTAATTATTTCACTGTAGTTCATTATGGATGTTTCTGCATGTGACAAAACTCCCTGTATCATCAGTATCAGAAACTGCCAAAGATCACTCAGGACTGAAACAGCTAAAATAATATCCCTGCAAGCGTTCCCTAAGGAATGTAAGCAGGACGTTGTATCCTACAAATGCCAAACAGCAGGTACCACCATCATACCTGGAATTAGGCAAGGCTCCCTTCCTCTCATTCTTGATCCATAAATCCACACAGCTGTTTTGAATGGAAACATCAGTCTACGGACAATGTATCTGGATGTCAGAACCTGCATGCAGCTATGGTGAATGCAGACACTTCCTCTTCCTGACAATTCCCGAAACCCTTCACTGACGTTCTACTTAATAAAAGTGGTGTCACTAACAAAGGAATAAATAGCATTTCCTGTTCAGCAGCCAAATCCTTGCTTCTGTTTATCTAGGGAAGATTCTGTAAACAAAACCAACCAGAACACTTGACATGGAAATGCTACATATTCCTTTGTGTTACTAGTATTACAAACTCATTTTTGGCTTACCATGGATTCACTGATTAAGAGGAGAAGAAGAGCCTCTTCTACGTTGTCTTGAGGGCAGTACGCACTGAAAGACAGAACACACTTTTCTTAGGAAGGTCAAGAATTATCCTGTCAGCCTCTTTCTCATTTCACAAGAGGAGCAGTAACTTGAAACATCTCATGCATAATTCATTTGCTAGGCAATACCTTCTTTTGCAGGCTCTCACAATTAAAAGCTCTGCAATATATCCTAGATGAGCTATACTGAACCATAAATATATTATTTCCATTTCATAGCAAAGACAGCTATTTGGTTGGATTTTCTTCCTTCCTGGGGGAAAAAAATCAAACACTCAAGGTTTAATGCTTTATTTTTCCAGCAGGCCTTTTGATGGGAAGTTAAAAACGAGAACACACAAAACTACTACATTAATCAGTGACATAATTCGCAGTACCGAAGAGCGCTCACTCTCCTTCCTCCTGCCAATAAACTGAAATAAAAAAGAACGCTTACTTCTCTTCTGTGTACAGCTCGGGCCTCCGACAAAGAAGATTGCTAACATAAGACTGATCTTCCTTGTTCATGAACTCAGGAAGCGGATCAGATAAAGGGCTCCAGTAACAGTCTTCACTGAGAGAATGGAGAAGTACTTGGGCTAGCTGTTTGGCTGCAGTCTAGAGATCAGTACAGAAAAAGAGACATCAGTGAATCCTCCAACACAAAAGATTCACCCCTCCCCATGTTCCACCTTGGGAAGGAGATGTACCAACAGAATGACAGTACCACTCTTCAGAAAGGTAAAGTAGCTAAAACAGTTGCCAGAAAGTCTACAGCAGTGGCAGTTTCTTCCCTCCTCTGAAAAGGCCAGCCTTCTGCATTTACATGATCTTGTTGCAACGCTGTAGGAAAAAAGTATCAAAAAGGCCTGACAGCAAGGGACACTTTGGTGAATGAAGACAACTGATTGCCACACGGACCGCTGAGACAAAGCTCACAAATGTTACTATGTTAGAGTACGATGGCACTCCACTGTATTCTCAGCCTCAGAATTTTGTATGCAAGTCTCAGCCCAGAGGCTACTTTTGTATCAAGTTTAAAAGATCAACCCTTTATCTGTTAGTATCACTCTTCCTGCAGCCTTTTAGAGCTTCATCTCTGTATGCTTCTCTCTTTTTGTTGCAATAATGGAGGGAGGAGAGAAGAGGGTTAGGAACTTTATATTAAGACAGCAACATAACATGCACTTTTTTGACCATCGAGTGGCCAAGGATCCTTAAATACTTGCTTTCCAGTTCACACACATAGCTGGCAAGCTGGGCCCAAAAGGAGGCAAGTTAACTTGACTTAGCAAAACTATCTTTGGTATTTGTCTTTGTCCCCCACCCAACAAATCTCTAGTTTTTTGCACTGTAAATAGATGAACATGCAAACAAGCACAGAGACATCAAAATGGGTAGTATCTTCTGTGAATCCTAAGCAGCACAGCACTCTAAGCTGTAAAGTAAATACGGCACAGAACAGAGGCAGGCTAAAACTTCAGTTCTTCTGTCCTAATACTTATAAATATTATTTTGGAACTTCCTTGACTACTGCAATATGTATTTTATATGCAATTTACACTTAGAGATGTGTTATGAGGCCACCAAGAGTCATTTTCTTTCAAATACCAGGATAGGTACGATTGATAAACTGACGCATTACTCTAGTTAAGGTATGACATCTATAGGACCAAATAAATCATACTGAGGTTAAAAGTTCCTGTTAACAGATTCAGAAAAATAACTTATTTTGATGCAAGGTTCTTTCATTTCATCCACCTCACCACACATGAATTCACTGAATTAGTCTAAAATGCAACCACAGTAGCGTGCGTTGTTTCTTAAACACCAGAAAGTGAGGTTTCATAGATGTACCTAGCAAATGGCAAAGTGATCTGAACGTATGATGGTGCCTCAAAGAAATGTTGTCACACACAACGCCCTGGAAACCCCAAGACCTTCCATGCACTCCTACTGACAAGTTACAGGAACCCTTCTGTAGGCTCTTCTACGCATTTTACAGGAAGTAACCATGAGCAAAATGGCCTAGGGCCCTGCGACATTAGCCAGTATCATTTTATCGTCCCAGTGTGCAATTATTTAGTCAGTTTTACCCTGAGGAGCCAACTCTCTTTTTAGAGAGGAGGGAAAAATAATACGCCAGCCACAGAAAGATCTCTACTGGTTCACACAGAAGTAGGAGTACAATTTGTGATAAGCCTTTCAAAAGGCAAGCACCAAATACTTCTAGTGTCTTTGATTTTAACATACAGTACAGTAGCTGTGTAAATTAGCTTCAGTCTTGTTTTGAATAAGACCAAACAAACCAGAACAGGCCAAGACTCTGGTTTATGTTATTACTGCCTCTGGCTAAAAAAACCCATCATTATGCTTGAAGAACACTGTGATCCCACAAATTAGGCAAAAAAAAAAAATCATGTGTTTCATTTTCATGCTTGAAAAACTTGTTTAATTAAGCACGTTCCTCCCTTTGCTCTCTTGACAGCTCTTTAAAAATAAGAAAATGAAAATGCAACTTCCTGTAAAATGGAAATCCCAGGAAAAAACATTGGACAAACACCTTCAGATTTCCCCTTAGGGATAAATCCCCCAGGGGTGTTGTACAGCTCTCCCCAGATGCTCAGGGACAGGAGCATTTGAGTGCCACGTTCTGTCATGGTATAGGAACAGCAGATGGTTAGACTCATTTCAGCAAAAATGATAAAACAGGCAAGCAAAAAAAATCCCCTGAACCCTGATCTCAATCTGGAAAAGGATGCAGCTATCTGAGTGTGACAGTTATTTAAGTCACTTCTTCTAATTCCCTGCACAAACTTCCACATGCATCTGTATTCTTAATTAGGCATATAAGGTGATCCCAAGGCAACAAGAAGATTCATTTCCAGAACAGAAGTTCCAAAACACACAGATGCGAGGAACCTAGGCAAAAAAGCACCCAGGATACCCTTTCTGCTCGCACTTTCATTTTAGCTCTGCATTTGCATGTGAGCTAGACACACAGTCAGTCCATCCATTGGAACCTGGCACTCTCCATCTCCATCATGCAAACCCATGCCCACCTCCCTTGCCGAACTTCTCTGGAATTACACAAAACACAAAGCTGAACCAAGCACAAAACAAGTTTAGTCGTATCAACGTCAATGCTTTTAGGGCTGCAAAGTTTTCATTCATGTTCTCAAGACTGCAATTCTCCATGCTGTTGAGAATGGACTCCTTGTCACCTCCTGAGTAACTTCAGGACAAGATCTCTTAAAGGGGAGACAGGGAAGAACCAGGTAAAGGTCTAAGAAGTTAAACAGGCACATAAACAACTTTCTCCATAACTTCTTTACCAGAGGCACTCAGGATAACAGGATTCAGAATGCCAACATCAACAAAAAAAAAATTTAAAAAAATTAAAATCACTCTGTACTGTATTGAAAGGAGTTTTACAGGAAGAACACTGAAGCACTTGAGTCTAAAAAACCACTGCTTGTTGCAAGAGCCAGAAGTATTTAATGCTTCTACATGCAAATGCAAAAAGGTGTGCACGCACATAACTGAAAAGCAAGAAAGTAAACAAGACATTATCACCTGAGGACAGCATTGTCAAACTAAATCCCTATTTCTACCAGTGCTAGAAGATGCACTGAAAAAAACCCGCAAAAGTAACCTACGTGCCCAGGTCTGAAGGCTCAGGGAGTTTCAGTTGGGCAGGTCTTTGAATTAAGTGCATCATTTGATACATCACTTCAAAAAGTAACAAAAAAAAGAAAAAAAAAGAAAAAAAGGCAGCAATCAATCAGGTGAGGACAAATACATTTTTGTCCTACTGCTCTCATTAATAGAGAGAATTCCTGCACAGCAGATTACCCCACCTTCCCATCTCCCATTCATTCCCCTTACCATTTTGAAGGTCTGAGCAGCTTTTGTTTCCACAGTCCGTAGTATTTCTCGTAGACTCCTCATTCCTTTCACAATATTTCTGTGGGGAAGGCAGGGGAAAGGAAAGAAAAAAAAAAAAAAAATCACAAAAAAACCCAAACCCCAGCACATTAGAGACAAAATATTTTTATGATGCGCCCAAGCCTGGCAACAAACTTGACATTCAAAGAAACCCATGAAACAATCACTAATATCGAGTGTGCGGTAGCGAGACAAGTCACTCTGAGGCACAGATAGGACAGTGGCACCGAGCGAGATAGCGACTGTAGCATGCCTACTCCAGATGGCTTTCTAGGAGAAGATCACATTCACATTTGACGAACAGAGGGGACATTTGGAAGCCTTTCATAGCTCGTATTTATAAAGCAGATGCTTCTTCTTAAAAGCATCCACATCTCCTCTTCATACACACAGATTGTACTTTTTTGAATTATATTGAGCTTACATGATGCTTTTAAATGACGATTCCTTTTAGGTGGTGTTTAAACGCCTTGTGTCTGATGGTCCAGACACATAATGAAATTACAGTGGTTTAAACAGTTTATTATCAGGCAGCTAAGTAACTGTCTGCAAGCACAGCTTAACCTGCAATAAAAGAGGGTTAGGAGAAGCAGGGGGGGAGGGCGGAAATATGACATTACTTTGCATACACCATAAGCAATTAAAGCAGACTAGTTGCCAAATGGTATCTTAATCATGTGTCTGAGCACTGAGAGAGATGCGGAGAGGAAAGATTAAACACTGGACATACTAGTTAACATGCTTGCAGCCTATAAGCTCTTCAAGGTTAAGGACATGGCCCTACCACCACAGTAACTACAAAATGGTTCAGCTCACTTTCATTGCAGAGTGGAAGCTACGCAAAGAAATACAAGCTACCAGAAAAGGAGCAATGCTGTACTGAAATAAAGACAACCAGATAAGCAGTTGTACTGGTACATTAACTGCCACTTCAGCTTATTCCAGGAGAATTTTCTGTGCAGATAAAGCCTAGATTTCATAAAAAAAAAAAAGGCCATACACCATAACAACCTTTTCTGTCAATCTGATTAAATTTTGAAGGTAGCAGTACAGACTGGGCCTGTGCCCACTTTAATGAACTGCAAACCTTATTGCACTCCAGAATCAATGGCAAACATTTGAAGAAATAAAAAAAAAAAAAAGTAATTATTTTCAGGGGGCGGGGGAGAGGAAATAAGATGTGATCATGTTTACCATGAATATTGGCTACATAAAATGCCACCCTAAAGCTTATGGTCACCAAGTCACAGAATGCAAATGTGTGTGGCCTTACTTCCTATCAATACTCATCTCAAAATTTTAAACTTTGAAGTAATCTGTAATTACCTAGTTGTGGGCTATCTACAGATAAGCAACAAAGTAAGGCAAGAGCAAAAACACTGGAGACTTGCCCCTGTGAAGAAAGTCAGATGCTGTCTTTCTTTTTTTTCCTTCCACTTTCTCCTAAGTGCTTTGAATTTATCAAGGGAAAAAAGCTCAAGGAAGTTTTTGTAAGTTGGACCTTAATGCTTCAGCCAAGCCAATGCTTGGCCCAATTACAGGGCCAAGACATCTGGTGCTTCTCTGTGGGTCTAGGAAAGAACATACCCACAACGATGCAGTTCTGGACCTTAAACTGAGGAAAGCAATACAGCATGTGGTGATATTTATGCACGTGAGTAGTCACACCAAATCCAACACAATTGTTCACGTGCTGTTTATTATCAGATAGTCAAAATCAACAACTTCTCCCATCTAAACAAGATGCACCTGCCCAACCACTCTCCCCAGTTACTGAAAACTACTGGCATTTCCTGTGCTTCCCCAGGCTCCTTAAGACGCTGGACAGAAGAGTTATGGTGTATAATAGTTCCTCAACATTTTCAAAAATGCATATGTTTAGATTTCTTGTTAGGATAATGGTATTTGTCTTAATAAAGTGTCAATGAGTTCTACTACCTAGCATCAGAAAGATTAGTGACCACTTGCAAAGCCAATTAATTCCACATTTGGCACATACTTAAGAGATGAAAAACATAGAGAACGTGCTAAAAAGAGACAGTTTTGTTCCCAGAGAACTGGAGCACCATTTCAGTTCCACTTTTTAGACAAGGCCATAAACCAAGTTAAGCTTCATGGCAAAAACATCTTGCTCTGGGGGGAAGGAGAGAGGAAAAGGAAGGAATATTGACACACTGAAGTGAATGAAAGAATAAATGGCAAATCGCTACCCATCTGCAAGTAGTCAGGGTTGATACCATGAACCGCATGACAAATGCCTAGGAACACCTTCAACAGAAGGTAGGAGTGCAAAATGGGCAGCACAGGAAGAGCACCCAGCACTCACCACCTCCCAGACAGGTGCTTGTGGTCAGGGTCTCTCAGAGAGCACCTGCTCCACGCTCTGAGCTCTCAACTCTGAAACATGCAAAGCATCTGACAACAATACCAGTTCTACAGGACTGAGGATTTAGTTTGGCAGCTTTTATATTTTGAACTTTATTGAACATTATTGAGCCGTGACAGGAGACAGAGCACACCTGCCAGCAGTCTGCAAACATACCTCACTACAGGAGTTTGTCTTTCTGTTTCAAGCCAGGAGGCCATCTGAGCACACATTTCATTTTAAGCATATGAATTGCTCTACTCATAACAATAAGGAACTTACTGTTCCATTAACAGATGTCCTTCATATATTAAACTTGCACTTGAAGAGATTTTTTAAAATTAAGACCTAAAGTCAACAAAAATAAAAGTATGTATTTGAACAGAAATACGTGTACGTAGATAAGTGGATGAGGATGCAAACATAAAGCCTCTGGCAACCCGTGGTGAATCCATTTGATCTTGTCTAGACCAGTGTCATGGTGTCGGCTGGG